GCACCTAGTGGCAAAGAATGAATTTGCATTTTCATTCAGACCAACACGAAAAAAAACAACAAGAGGGCGGGCAATATGCTAATGTTTCATGTTGACATCAACATGAAACGACTTGGGATTCGTTTTAAAAATGACTCATTTCAATGATTCAGAGTCTACTCTTTCTTTTGAGAGACAATAACTTTATACACGGTGCACTTTCAGATTTAAAACTTTGCAGGATGTTTTCATTCACTTATAGCTGTGTTACATACCTAATGTGTTACATTATTATTACCATAATAATAAAATTATGGTAATTTTCAAAAATCCATAATAGCGGCACTTTAAGACGTACCAATTTTTGCACATTTTTACTACTATTTCCTTGCATGTTTGCTTTACTTTGCAAAACCTGAAAAAAAAAAAAAAAACACATCATCATCATCATCATCATCATATTTTCATATAAATAATTATATTTTCCCTATAGCTTAGAACATCCTTTGGTTCAGGAGTAATGTATGCTCAGAAGTATGTGGAGCGGGTTGACACAAAAGAAGACCATGTCATAGTTTATTTAACAGAGGTAAATAAATAATAACATTTATAAAATTAACATGTATTTAGTAACTTCCATGACTGTTACTGTATATGTATTTTTGTTTATCCTCCTGCAGATTCCAAAACATATTTCTATGAATTACAAGATGCAAATGAAACAAGTTCTTCCAGTGAAGAATCTCAAGCCAGCAGTGGTCAAAGTGTACCAAACAAGTCAAACAAGTAAGATTTTATTTTAACATTCAGAAAAATGTAAAGGTATACCGTTTAATGCCAAATAAATAAAATAAATAACAAAGCATGTAATTCATAAACTCTTTACTTTTAATATTGTATCTTGTCTTTTGTGTTGTTGACACAAAGCCATGCTGAATTAATTTACCATCAGATGGCGTGCTCATTTATTAATCATATTACTTGCATTGCATGTATGTGTGTGTGTGAAGACTTGCTTTATACAGTGAGGTATAAACCTCTTCGGTAACACTTTATAATAACTTTCATTAACAAACATTATATAATGTTTAACTAATCATTACTTAATATATATATTTACATTTCTAATGTGCTTGTTAATGTTAACTAATGAACTTATTAAACATTACCAAATGATTAACAGATCATTATTTATTGTAAATTGAAATGCTTACAAATGTCATTATACTTTCAATGCATATGATCATGCATTTTTTTTTTTAAATCTTCAAATGATTTTGATAGATGGTTTACAATGATTAAAAGCTTCATTAATAAATCATTAACAAAAAATGTTAATTATTAGGTCATGTTTAATACATTTATTAGTAAACATTAACAAGCACATTATTTCACGTTTCTAGATATGAGAATATATATTAACTAATGATTCATTAAGCATTACATAATGTTTGTTAATGATTTATTAATGAAAGTTATTATAAAGTGTTACCACTTCTATTCTTCTATTAATTTGTGTGTTGATGTTACCTTCTTCCTTCAGGTGATCAGTCTGAGACGGAGTACTCCTTCCACTGTCAATGAGGTCATGCCCTTCAATTCTGCAGCTCATAATACTGTATGAGCAGTTATTTTCAGTGGCATTGGTTTATTTCATTTGTGATGTTTCATGTGCATTTTCAAATGTGTACTCGGTGGCACTCACAATTTTGTTTGTAATTTGTTCTTGTCTTTTAACAGAACATGTTTGATCTTATCATAGAAAATAAATCATTTTAATGTTGTAAAAATAATGAAACCACCAAAATATTGTACAATAAACTGTAACGTTTTCAGAGCATCCCAGGAAAAAGCTGCTCTATAAATCTATGCTGCCTTCAAAAATCGATCAGGCGCTAAGACGCGAGGAGAGGAAGCAAAGAAAGGAAACAAGGATGCACAAATAAGAAATAAGAAGCACCCATAGACTACTTCGAATTCCACAGTTACTGGTGCCAGCCCCTCTTTAACGGAATGCTTAAGTTTCGAAGTTCAGTAAAGTTGAAAAATCATAAAAATGATGCAAACGCAACTAAGTATTGTAGTATAACCAAGGAGAGCAGTGAACGGGATTTGGCGGCATTACACTGCATAACAGTGAAACTATAGATTTTTTTTCTTCTAATAACAGTGATGTTATTGAATTCTTCACAATAAAAATCATAAAAATGTATTTTATTTTCAAGCTAAGTGTTACAGTATAACCAGCAGGAGAGCACTGATGTATGAACTGAATTTGGTGACAGTAAAGCGTGTTACAGTGAAGCTATGCAAAAGCTATTTATTTGCAAACTAAGTGTTGTAATAAAACCAGCAGGAGAGCACTGATGTGTACACTGAATTTGGTGATAGTAGTGTGTTACAGTAAATTTATTGAATATGTTTTAATACCAGTAAAATTATTAAATATTTTTTCATAAAAGAATATAAAAAATTATGCAAAAGCAATTTTTGTCAAACTAAGTGTCGTAGTATAACCAGCAGTAGAGCATTGATGTGTGCACTTAATTTGATGGCATTACACTGAATAATAGTGAAGTTATTGAATATTTTTAAATAACAGTAAAGTTACTGATTTTTTTTAAATTTTGTATAAAATATGAACATTTTGCAAAAGCACATTTGTTCAAATAAGTGGGATAACCAGAGACCATTGATATGTAAATTGAATTTAGTAACACTACAGTTTGTAACATTGAAGTTGTTGACTATTTTTGTAGTAATGATTTTCGGGTTTTGCACTTTGCATCGGGTCCCTTTGGACTTCTCTCCGCCGCCTGCGCATAGAGATCAATGTGTTTTGTCCAGTGCGGAGGAAGGCTTGTTTCAAGGAAAATTCGGTTGTAGCTCATTGTATACGTTACTACGATTGAAAAGAAGTGTTATTTGTTTAGCTCACGAGTTATTGATCCGGGAAATTCGAATCTGTGAATATACACCTTTTTCTTCCTGTAAGAGCGGGCGCGGACATTTGTAAATTTTATGGGTCTAGCTTCTGCTCTCATCCGCTCTTTTCGTTGTTTGATATTGAAAACTGCTGTGTCTTACCATGTGTCTGTGCAGGTCTGTAGTGCGTTCAGCTTTATTGACTCACACTCACTTTTCCTCTTTCCTCTCTTAGCATTTTATGGCTGTTCTGCTATGATATTATTAATTATTTTTTTTGTTCATGTTCACTATCTCTCAGTCGCTCAGTTCTACATCAATCCCACTCCTACTGAAGCTAAAACATTGAGCATTGATGCTAAGATTGAGGGAGATTGCAAAGATCACTGGGACAAAATTGAATTTTGAACTTCACTGTGAAGTACTTAAGAACAAACTTGAAGTCAAAAGACTAGAGAATGATTATGACTTAAAGGGGTCATGAACTGAGAAAACTAAGAGGACAATAAAGGGAAAACTAAAGGACAATACTGTGCCGGCTATTTTGGATCCAACATTACAGTGTGATTGACTGTTTTTATTGCGTGATTACTATTGCTTTGTCTGTTGAACAGTTTGTTTGATATGAGTATTTATGCGTTTTAAAACTTAAATCACAGCAGCATCCATCTGTGAAGTACATAGACTGTCAAACATACACAAATGTTAGCCAATCATGGCAGTGGGCGTTTAGTTCCAAGTTTACAATCCACCAAACCTATTAAAACAGATCGTTCTGATGAGGGGGCTTAAAACAGGACAGAAAATAGCCTAGTACTTCTAAATTATGTTTTTTGATGTAAAAATCTTGATAACATCATAAGTGGTCCTCAAAGAACAGTACAAAATAAAAACAGGCAGTTCATGACTCCTTTAAGATTCACTTATAAATACATATTTCCTGAATATTTTTAACATCATAATAAATATAAAATCAATATGAATTGAAACACAGCAACGCTAAACACTAACCTAAAAGACACTTTGTTATTAACACATAGTAATATAAACTGCATGTGTTTTGTGAATTGTCCTGGCTTTTTTTCTCATTTATTTCTACTTATTTTGTTACTTTATGAGACATTTAGGAAACTTTTCCTTTCTATTTGCTCTTTTCCAGATATGAAAGGATTAACATGGTCGTTGTGGATATTAAACTCTTATCTGGATTCACAGCTGATACTTGGATTCAACAGAGTCAGAATGAACCCCTAACATCCTAAACTCAAACCATTGTTTTATACAGTTACAGTTGACTACCCTTAATGTAAATGAAGTTGCTCCTGTCGTAACAGCTGTGGTCTGTATGTTAATGAAGTTCTGACACCCCATTGTCTGAGATGGTTCTCGGTGTCCCACACCTATTCCCATTCAACAATTGGTCACCATTTGCTCAGGATGAGATCATCTCAAATGATCTAGAAACAACATAACTGACTTTCTTCTTCTCTAGAACAATTAAGCCATTTTGGGAAATAAGCACGATTGAACATCTATTATTACATGGAATTTAGGTTGGGGCAGTCTGTAGTTTCTTACAATACCTTGTGAAAAGTTGTTCTATCTCAGCTCTGCTTTTTAATCTTCTTAAAACACTGTATGATGCCCATTTATGACCATTGTAGGTCCTCCTGCTCTAGAATATTTGAATAAAATTATAAAAAAGGTAATTGTGATTTTTTTTTTATCTCACAATTCTGACTCTTCTCTCACAAATGCAAGTTTACATCTTGCAATTCTGGCCTTTTTCTCAGAATTTTGACATATAAACATGCAATTCTGAGAAATAAAGTCAATTGCGAGAATTGTGAGTTTCTGTCATGCAATTCTAACTTTATGGAGAGTTTTCATCTCACAATTCTGGCTGTGTAATTTGCAATTGTGAGTTTATATCACACAATTCTGAAAAAAATTAGTAGTGAGAGAAAAAAGTCAGAATGTGAGATAAAATTCACAATTATCTTATTGTTTTTTTATTCATCGGTGGAACCGGACTTCCATTGAAACTTCTCATCCCATCACTCTCAAGTAATAAGGAGAATACTATTATTCCTAAAAACCAGAAGAACTCACAATAATATATGAGAAGGTTTGTCAAACCTTGAGCTTTTCCTGTCTTTGTGTAGCATCTGCTAATCTGCATATCCATCCCAATGTTACAAATAAGATCCTAGACAGAAAACAAACAAACAAACATGGAAAAATCTTCATCATGGTGTAGAATCTTGAGTATTAACAGATTTACACATTTTAATGAGCTGAGGTTTCAGAAGCCATATTAGAAGGGGTCAAAGGATTTGCAGATATGAAGAAACATTTACTCTGAGTGGGTGTAGGTGATTCTTGACCCTTGATTTCAGTATTGTTTGTTGACATTGGAAAGAGTTCAGAAGCCCTAGGGGTATTTTGTGTGTGTGTATAGTTTGTTCAGATGATGATGATGTGTATATTTTACCATTTTCTATAGGCTGTGTGAATGACTAAAAACAATATAAAATACAATATAAAAATAAATATACATTTCCTCGTATAATTGCAGCATACATTCATTGCAAACTTTGAGTTGTTAAACTGTAAAATATGTTTTGTAAATATCTTAGTAATTATTACATAGTGTCATCTATATTTTACTGCATAAATAATACTTTTAATATTTACTGTAGCACAGATGTATTTTTTAGGCTTTAGTAGTGCTAATATTGCACAGGTTTTCAAACGGTATTGCCTACATGGTTGAATCATTAATCAAATAATCAATACAAATGTTTTTGAAGGACCGCCTTTAGCATTAGACTCCCTTTATAAGAGACGGCTCAGTTCATGTCAAGACCTGGATGATCACTCGTCATCATGGATCTGAACATTAGCTGCTGTTGGAAACGGCTCCTTCTGTTCTCTCTCCTTCTTGTCTGTGTCAATGGACAAACGTCAGGGCCGTAAGTAACTTAATTTTTTCTATTCGTTTTTATTTCTATATAAATCATCTGTCACTTTTTCTCATTTTAAAAAGGG